CTTTTGAAGACAGTATGATTCTCCCAGATCTGTTCATGTTTCCCAAAACAAGCCATTTATTGCTCTGGTTCAAATGGTCAAAAACAAGATCTAAGAATATTACTGATAGCACCAGGTGAAAATTTAAAACTGAGGAGGAAATAAATATATCTTGGGTAAATATTTAATTACATATATATAATATATGTAGTATACATATGTAAATACACAATTTAATAACACCATATCACTTTCCAGTATTTTAATAAAGCCTCAGTAGAAACAACTGCTACTGAAGTTACAGTACTATGACAGTATGTTTCTCATTTCAATAGTTACTTGACAGCAGGAAGACCTAGACTGTGAAAAGCTATAACTTAATAGCAACCATGTTCTGGAAATACAATCTCAGGTTTCCTTTAGCTACAAACCATTAAAAAAAAAGCCCACAAAATCAAATATTAATTATTCTGACAACAAATAGCTTTCTATTATTGAACTGTGTTCTTAAAATGCCAACCATGGACCAGACCTTCGGCTGACCTAAATTTATATGGCTCTATTTAAAGGCAGCAGAATAATGTCAATTAATCCCAACTGATGCTCTAAACATGCATCTTGTTATATAACAACTGAAGTAAATATATAAAATAAATGCTAGCTGTAAATTGTTGTTATCTACCACTCACAGCAGACAGAGCAGAGAAATAGCAATATTTAGAGCTCCAATTCTGTGAGATGGACCAGACCACTTCTCCCATGCTGAGCATTATTTTCTTTGCTGGGTTGCATTCCACTTACAAAGAGAAGTCTTGCAGCACTGGCATCTATATTGTCAGCTGTTGTGCAGACACCTCTGTAGCAAAAACTGGTTAATTATTCAAATACTGCAGGCCAGACTGAAAATTACACCAAGGTGGAGCAACTCAAGAAAGGGAAAAAAGCCATGTCTTAAATAGGTATTTTTCCTAATTGAATTTTGTGACATATATTCAATATATATATTCTATCTCATAGTATGCTATTTTGGACATGTACCAATTCAACAAGTGAATTAGGAAAAAACACAAGGTATCTAAGGTGGCTTTACATTTATTTCAGACCTATCTTATAATACAATTTTTAAATAACATTGCTTCTACCACATTTTTAGTCAAGACCAAGTATTCCCTTGTTTACACAATCTTGTTTTTGACAGACATGCTTATCATGAGTATTAGACAGTTACATTATCTTGTAGCTACTAAAAAAATATTTTCAAATACTGTAAGGTAATGCTTTAACACTTCAAAATACTAACACGGAAATCAATTGTCATTTTCTTTTAGATTGGACTGCAGGAATTGGGCATCTATTTGCATTTTTTTTTCTATTACATAGCCTAAGCACATTTATATCTCATAACTGGCTGTAATGATCATGGCAAGGTCACCTAGAAGAGTCAATTAAGCTGATGAGTCAGATACATTGCTTAACAGTGTGTAATAAGACTCAAACAGAGGATTTTATTGTTCATATTATTGCATCACAGTGATGTTATAACAGCAGCAAGATTGCTGTCTGGAAAAAAACTATTGCATAAGCCTAGTTTGCATAACTATTTGTTAAAATAAGTCAATTTAAAATGAGTTAAAGGTTTATTTTATTTAAGAGTTTTATTTCAAGATAAAGGATTGGAAAAAAGCAGCATGGTGCTGAGACATTTCTCACTCTCTTTTGACTCTATTGCAATAGATAGAATGTCTGTATGTTCTATAAAATTCATCCAAAGCAAGGCAAATACTGTTCCTTCTTAACATGAGATAAGCTCTTTGGAGGTCATGTAAGTTCATACTGCCCATGGGAAGATTCTTAGCTTCTTGACACCTGCACATCAGTTTCTTAAAAACAAAAACAAACAAACAAAAAAAATCCCCTCCTCAAACCTCAAAATGCAAAACAACTCCCACCAGAACAGCAGAGGCTTGAGCCTTTGGATGCAAATTCAGGAAGCTGGATATTTTGAAAGCTAGTTAAGAGTCCTTTGGAGCACGAGTTAAAAATATAAAGTAAATGAAAGTGGAGGCAGAACATGCTAAGGCTTATTAGCATTTTAACAAAGACAGCTACAATGTGAGAACTTTTGTAACATAACCGTTAGTGCCAATGTTATTAATGATCCTTATTCAGTAGTCCTTGAAGTAGTTGGTTTAAATCAGGTTTTTGGGCCAAAACACCAAATCCTTATTCATTCGAGTTTCCTATCAAAGTCAACATTTTGATTGAATAAGAACCATAAAAGCAATGCACATAGCAATATTTCAAACGAGGCTCTAGATTTAATTAATTACTGAGGAGGGCAAAGATAACTCAAAGTAGGTTACATACACACTGGAGCAAACATAACGAAACTAAGTGCAATCATTCAAGTTACAAGGACAACAAAAAAAAAAAAAAAAAAAAAAAGGGCTGTTTTTAACACAACAATAACTCCAAAAGAGCCTCACTGTCAAGGCTGTACTTGGCCCCAACAATCAAGTAGCAGAAAAGTTTACGCAAGAATATTACATTTTTAAAATACTTTGTTGCTTCTTATACCTACTTCCTATAGCAGGTACAACGAACATAAAGCCTGTGGCTGGGGTACTCGGGAGATTTTTGGTCAGAAGCACAATGATGTTGGTTCCACGTATTGGAGAACCGTTTTAGTTATTAAAAATAAAAAAAAAAAATCAAATAAAAGGCAAGTTTTCGTCAGCAACTTTCAAGCTATGCTTCTATCGAGGACACAGCACAAGCTGGCCCCAAAACATACAGCCACTGCGACGTCGAACTGACTTGGGAAAAAAATTAAATTACAGAACTGGGCAATGATGATTTCCCCCCCCCCCCCCCTCCATTTCCCCCCCCCCCCCTTTACGATGTTGTTGTCGTTCGTTACATAGAAGACGAAAGAAAACGCTCAGCTCGTGCCTACCTGCGAGGGCCTTTGTCTGGCGATCCCTGCCTGCAGGCGACGGTGGGACTAGGGGGGTGATGGGCAGCGGGGTGGGGACGCTCCGCGGGGCGCGGTGCGGCCCGAGCTGCGGAGAGCGCCCGCCGCCTCAGCGCCGCTCGGCCCGCACCGCGCCCACCACAAAGGCTGCCCGGCTGGGCCCCGCAGCCCCCTACGTGACCGGCGGCGCATGGCCCCGGCCCGCTCGGCCCCGCGCTATCAGCCCGCCGCCCCCCCGCCGCCGCCGCCGCCCCAGCCCAGAACAAAGGGCTGAGGGGGAGCGCCAGCGCCCCCAGCCCTCGCTCGCCCGCCGCCGCCGCGCCCCGTCGGCCGCCGGGGGAGGGAGGCAGCGGCGACCCCCGAGAGACTCAGGGAGAAGGTGGACGCGGAGGACTCGTCGGGCTCCGCGCACCCGCTCCGCTCCACCGCCCATCGGTTCTGTCACACTGACCTACTACCGGCGGCCGCCCCCGGAGCCCGGCTCCGCTGCCCCACGGGGGCCGGCGGCACCTGGCCCCAGCCCGCCGCGGCCGTCAAGGCACGGCCGGGACGGCTCTTCCTCGCCCCTCCAGCGCAGCTGAGATCTCCCGTAAACGCCTTCCTTGCTTAAATCAAGCCTTTCCCGTTTGGTTTGTTTTGGTCTGTTGTTTTGTTTGGTTGTTTTTTTAAAAATTATTTTTCATTATTTTTTCCACTGAAAGCCCGTACCGGAGAGATGCCACGGCGTCTAGGCGAAACGCCTTCCCTAAAAAATAAATACAGTCTGATCTAAAACGCCTCCGAAGGCGTAGAGTTAAAAATCCGAGCAAATGCCTCGAACGTCTTACACACGCATGGCTCTGGAGAAAAGACCAGAAATAGCACATGAAGCCACAATTGCTAAAACGCGAAGGGGCTAAATATAGACCCAACACAAATCTCGTTTTAAGGCACCCGGCACGCAGCCGGCGAGCGCGCCTCGCCTCCCCACTCACTCAGTTGTCTACTTCCCTTAATAAACACACTTTCACAAAACCTGTTACAGTTACGGGTTTGGGGGCCCTTTTTTCGGGGCGAGATTGTCCTAGTTTCTTTGTAGGGAGATTATAAAATCGCATAATTAGCTCCCTCTTCCCAGCCCGCTGCCAGCATATTTTGTGGTTACATAATGCAACATTTCCAGGAACTATTATGCGATCGGTCCCGCAGCGCCTAAAAAACAGCGACAAAAAGTGACGGAAAGGGCTGGCTGAGACAAGCGCAGCCCCGGTCCCGGGCCGCTGCCATTGATCCCGACTGCCCGCGGGCAACATGCCCCTACGCCGCCCGAGAGAGGACTGGGTCTGGCCGGCGGGCTCAGGCAGCAGCTCCCGCTGGTTTTGTGGACGAGGCACAGCTGGCGCTGCCCGGGACCCAGCCCTCCGCCCCGCACGGCGTTCGCCGCGGCAGCTCCGCTCTCCGCCGGCACATTATGCAACGCGGAGAGCCGCTCCGGCGGCGCTGCCCAGGGCTCGCTGCGAGGACACGCGGGGGGCAGCGCGGCACGCCAGGAACGAGCACGCCCCGACAGCGAGAGCCGTCGGCCGGCATCTCCCGGGCTGCCTCCCGCGCCACCACCCCTCCGCCGAGCCGTCCGCCGCCGCGCAGAGCGGGGCCGCCGACGAACCCTTCCCCGCCCGGCGGCGGCCGCAGTTGGCTGGGCTCCCCATAAGCAACCGCCGACCCCCGCCCGAAGCTAGAGCAAAGCACCGGGCGGGCACCCTAACTTTGTACGCGCGCCTTCCTTCCTACCTGCAGCGCGCCGCGGAGCGCCGAACATTCCTCGCCCCGCGCCGGTCCTAGGGCTAGTCGGGCGGGCGGCGGAGAGGAGCGGGCGCGGTGCGGTGCCGCGCCGTGCGGGCGGCGGCGGAGCGGCGGGCGGGAGCGCGCGGCGGCGGCGCGGGGGGATGTGTGTTAGTAGGTCAGGGCTGCGCGGCGCGGGGCTCATAGCCCGCATGCCGGCCGCGCCGCGCCGTGACTGGCGGCCGCGCTCAGCCAATCGGCGCCGGGCGCCGCCGGTAGCCGGCCAATGGGAGCGCTTGGGGGCGGGGCGGGGCGGGGCGGCGCGCGGTACAGTAGGTCTGTGTGCTGCGATTGCATAACCGCCGGCGGGGGCAGGGGGCGGCGCGGGGGGTGCCCGCGCTTACGTAACCGGCGCGGCGGCAGCGCGCTGGGGGGCGCTCGCCCAGCGCAGCCTCCGCCCGCTGNGGGCCCGAGCGCCGCCTCCTCGCCCCGCGCCGCCGCCTCGGCTCCCGCCGCGGTGCCGGAGTGCGCGGCGTTACGGGGGTGTGTCTGCGCGGCGTGCGGAAACCGAGCCCTCACACCCGCCGTCTCCACGCCATCGAACAAGGACGCGGGAGCCGCGCTCCCGAGGCGCGTACCCGCCGCCTCGCCACGCACACGGGCGGTCCGCCGGCGGATCGCGCTGCGGCCGCTGTCACTCGCGGAAAGCAGTGGTGATAATCGTAAAAGGACGAGGAGGAGAGGAATGGCAAGGGGAAAGGAGCCCGCTGGCGGCCTTGCCGGGGCGCCGCTGGCCCTGGGCTCCGCGGGCGCCGAGGTTTGTCCGCCGGCCTTCGTGGCCGTCAAGGCTGAAGGATTTCGGTGGCGTTGCCTCATCTCCGCCCTCGCCTGTGAGCTGGCAGCGCTGAAGTGCTGCGCAGAAGCGGGGACGCACTTGGCAGAAGCTCGGTCGCGCTGGCCCTGCCGCGGCGATCCCCGCCGAGAGCCCCCGTCCCCGCGGGCCGAGCCTTGCCTCCCAGGGAGCCGAGGTGCCGTGGAGAGCCTGGCGCTGGTTTGTCCCCTGCTCAGCCTCCGTTTTAGAAAGTGACACATGGCCAGCAAGAAATCCAGTTGTCATCCCAGAATGGGCTTGAATGCACACGTTTGATTAGGTGTGAGATACGTATCTTACTCTTATCCTCACAGAAGGTTTGTATCTACATCTGTTTCTTTTTTTCTTTCAAAAGTAAAATTTATGGAGACAACAGAAAATTTTATTTATTAAATCCTAGTGCCAGAACGTAAATGATTCCTGATTTCATTCTGTTAAACACTTATCGAAATAGTATAGTCCTCACCAACATTATCCTACATTACTCTGTCATCCTGTATTTATATGTCAACAGAGGTAGCCCTCTGAAGTAAAGCAAACCTAATAGAAGCAAATTCAGAGTATTTTTTGTTTATCTCAGCCCTCAGTGTTTTATCACATGTACCCATAATATGCCCACAATAAAATCTATGTGCCTTGAATCCATTTCTACCTATGTCCCTGCATTATTTAATATGAAAGGTCTAATAACCTTTACTCACATTGGTTTACCCTTCTTCCTTCCCTATTTCTAATATCTAGCATATGCAGCCTTGTTAAAGGTAACGGACTATGGAACCCACTGTGACAGAAATGGGGATTCAAAAGCAGCTCGAGTCCGAGAGATCAACCACTGCCTCCACCTGGAGGCTGCACAATCAGGTTTTTGTTTTTTTTTTCCCATGCTTCCACTTGCCAGTGGATAACAGCCATGCAGAGACAGTTGGCATCTACTGGAAATGTCAGACATGAGATCCAGCAATAAGCTTGAAGACCTGCTTGCTCATAAATATTGGTGGCTTACTTAAGGTCTTAGGCACACTGAAGAACCTGTGTGAGGAATCTTGTGTGGCACACATTATGTCCCACACATATTGTACCAATCCAGTGCACTGAGTTCTCAGGACTGTCAAAAGCCAAAGTAAATCGTGAAACTTCAGGCAGTTTTAAAAATTAAATGGTACATATTGTTTTCACAATAAATGATTTCTTATGGTTTCTTATGAATCCTGGGTATACACTTTTAACAACTTCAATTCTCTTATCTAGAAGAGAAAAAAAAAAAACAGTAGTTGAAATTTGCCTTCATGACTCAGGTCCTTGAAATTCTAGAATTCTAGAAAGAAGTCTCCAAGGCAAATAATATCCTTTCTATGTGGGTGAACAGTCTTGGAAATAATATTCCAGATGGAGTTTGGTCACCTATTTGCTTATATGTTTGTCACTAATTATAATCAGCCATAAAAACAGACCTGATCTTTCTCCCAGATTAGTAGCAAAGATGTTTTCTATATTTTACTTTACTTCTGTTGGTGAAGGTCAGGAAAGTTGAAACCTTTTACAGCAAAATCTGCTCTTACTCTCCAAATCTTACAGTGGGCACTTGACAGATTCAGGGATAAGGTGGGTTGCAGGGCTGAATGCTTGCTGAATGTTGAAGGAACATATTCACCATTTTTCCACCTCTCCTGGGTTACAGAAAAAAATAGTATGGATGAAAGACATAGCTATGTGTATTCTGCACAAAAGAAGTCTAAGGCTTTTGGGAAAACTGTAAAAAAGAGAATCTTTCTGTGATTCTCCTCTGCTGGTTTTCCTATGGGAGGGATGAAGTAGGGCATGAAGATCTTCAGCTAAATTCTCAGCTGACTCTAGCATCGTATGATTTATACTTGTTTTTGGACAGCACAATATTAATTTCAACTCCTTTAGATTCATTGGTATTTATTGCTACATGACTTGAACTCTCTTAACACTACCTCTGATTTTGGCTTAATGAGAATTTCTAAGGCTACACTGAGTCATAGCACTACATGCAAGTCTAGAAAGGCATTTGAGAAGCAACTAACAAAAATATAACAGAAGTAATGCCTGTCATCTCAAACATTGGTTAACACCTTTGCATTCAGTTGTGTCCATGCCTCTTGGGCTTTCCATAATATCAGCTTTGAATATGACCCAACTTGTAATTTAGAATCAGATGAAAATAAAAGTTCCAATGTGTCCAAAGAAAAAAGGCTTTCGTTCCTCACTTTTATTATAGTCCACGTACAGTACAATGTAGTAATTGAAATAAATATGGAGCAAAATAAGAATAAAATGTTTCTTAAGATTATGGTCTACTAAACACAGTTTAGTGATTTATTTACATGTGTATACAGACACACATGCTCTCTGAAATTAACTAAAGAGATGGTGACTTCTGCTGTTATCCTTGGTTCTCTTGCATTGCTTTCTTTATATCTGTAGGAGGTTTACTACATAGCAATACAATTACAGAAAACTGTATTCACCAATCTTTTTATATATTTAATGTGATCAGTGCTCAAAAATGTTTAAAACTAACTGACTCCTCCAGGGCTTCCTTCTCAAGAAGAGCAGTAGTGAAAATTCTATAAAATAGATGAGATTGTGATTTTATAAAGATCAAGACAAATAAAAATGCACTAAAGAAAAAGGCAAGTCAATTGACTACAGTTGCAAGTATTAATCAAAATATTTCCATGCATCTGGGAACATTTGTGGAAACTGTTCTGGAAAAATATTTGTGCTGTAATGTACTCTTGCTAAAAGCAAACCCGAGAGAAATAGATGTTCACATTGTAACTTAGGCAGACATAAGTGAGGCAATGTTTACTGGAACTGTTAAGTGTGAAGAAACACCAAAAATTTCACAATAAGAGCATGGACTAATAAAGAAAATTTACATGATACTTTTGCACTGCAACAGCCTACTTAAGGCTTCATGGGTATTCATATGACAAACTAAGAAGGTTATGGGGTTCAAGTATTTTAGATGAGTCTAAGAGCAAACAAAAATATCCTGTATCTAATGTTACAAATGCTAGTTCTGCCCATAGAGCATGTTACCCACTTAGATTGAGAGCCAATGTCAGGAACAGAAATATCTCCAGGACTGATGGAAGTATCTGATTTCACCTAAATATTTTAAACACAAAAAGAAGTATTTTCAAATGTTCTTTTCATTAATTAACACATATACTACTTATGTGTATAGCACTGCCCTTACTGAGGCTCTCTAGATAATGCTGCCAATGTTGTGGAAAGTAGAAACATGTAACGCCATTTGTTTTCAATATTGGACTGTAAAAAAAAAATCACTGTAAAGCCCTCAAGAATGTGAAAATGTCGCATTTTATGAAGTGTATAGTATGCATATAGAAAGTAGGAAATGCTAGGAATATCACTGAAGAGAAAAATTTTAAAAAAAGAAAGTGATGAGTCCTAGCTTCCCTCTTCCCATGACTGAGTAGCAGACATGATAAGTAGGAAATCTGGAGCACACCACATAAAAACACCAGAGAAGGTAAACCAGCAGGCACTCTGAGTGACTGAGATGGCAAGGCACACCTCACACCCACATTAATTTGAAAGGAAGGTGGCGATGACACACAGGTAGGAAGGTCAGCAGTTTCTCATGGCCAGCAGCACAGGAGGAGACAAGTGACAAGTCATTGCCATTGGGAGCTGTTTCAGTATAGTGAAAGAAGCTCTCCACGCTAAGTTCTACTTTGTGGCACCTTGCTCAGAAATTGCCAAGGACCAGTGGGGTTTCACATGTATACTTACTCAGAGCTGCCTCGCTCTTGACTTTTGAATCACTCAGAATAAATGAGACAAGCCAATAATTTGGAGGATTTTGCTGGGAAGGGGGGATTTCTTGAGAAGTAAGATCAGTTCTACTAGAAGGGACCAAAGATCCTTCATGTGCAGAGGCTCTCCTGGTCTGCAGCAACAGAAGCAACTGCTGGCATGATCTTGTCTCAAGCCTCAGCAGATGAAATTTTATGACAGAAACAAACAAACACCCTCCAACACCTTTTCACACTTTCTCTTTAAACAGTTTTCTTCCATGTGGATGTGAGCAATCTGACCTCCAAAACAAAATAAAAGTGTCTTACGTAAAAGTTTCCCAAATGACAGAATTATCACAAACCTCATTCAGTTAGTCATCTAAATATGATTACTCAAAAATGATTATAAAAGTCACCAAATTCTCTGCCTGGTCTCAGCAGAGCCAAGACAAGGGAAAGTAAAAATTCTTAGTCAGAATCTTTTCAATATGACCTAAGACTATTCACTGCTACTTTTCTAGTCATCTACTTTTCTGCTTCATTTGTCATACTCCAAGGTGAGAAATGTGTAAAGAAAGCAGTGGGATGGGGGGTTTTGGCAGTCATTTCTTAAACACAGTTGCTACTTGGTCTTGCCATTTAATCTTTGTTCACATTAGTCATCCCACTGACTTTGATGATTTACATTTGTGATTAATCCTGACTTCAATTACAGCAGTAAATCTTTAAGAAATATACCTCACTTGGTTCACCAAGATGTTTGGAAATCAGTGTGCTTGACCACTGCAGGCAGATAGACACTGGGGACAAATATTTTTCTATGATGTTGTGCTTTGAGATAGAACACTGAGATCAAACATCTCATGATGGGTTTTTACAGCCACCATAACAACTAAGAATAGTAAAATGCATATTAACATACTGAGCAGTTGGCTCTCCTTTCACAGTAATTATCAGTGAATCATTTGGTGAAGCTGCTACACTTTGCAAAATAGTTGGAAATGTATTCTACTGAATAAAAACTTGAATAGTAAACTTAAAGACAAGAAGAGCTATAAAAAGTTTGTCACATAGCTATGATTATCAGAAGGACAAGAAGAAGCCTTTGTTCTTTGCAGGGCATGATTCTGCTACTGTTTTATGGTTATTGTACACTAAAGCTGTGCAGGCACTGAACAGGTTAATTATAGCCTTATTGAGAGAATGGAGTACAATTCTTAGTCTTAGACCCTTTCTCTCAAGAACTGTATTGAGTCTGCAATACACCCTTAGCAGAGATCGCTGAGAAGCATGCTCTTGGCTGTTCAACAGCTGTTGTTGCATGGTCTTTACCATTTAAAGGCTGGCAGAATAGCTTAATTCAAAGTTTTGTTCCTGAAATTCTCTGCTTTGCTGCTTGGTAACGTAGGAGGGTGAGACATTACATTGCTGTAATTCCTTTTCATCCTCAACATGCTCAGGTGACGAAAGTTTTTCCTTGTACGAATGCAGAAGGAAAGTATATTTCTTGCCAATGAGTCCAACGGGACCTAGAGATGTGGGAAGCTGGGACCTAGAGATGTGGGAAACTGGAACTGCTACAACTCAAGTCCAGAGCAGGGTTTTGTCTGACAGACATTTGGAGAAACATCTACCAACCACTGCTGGTATAAACCTCTTTTGCACCAGTGACTTCCTATCTTTTGAGCTGCAGAGTTGTAAATCTGGCATCCAGAACGGGGGTTAGAAAGTGACCTAATATGCAGGAAAAGACACAAAGAGCAAAAGTGAGCTTGCCTTTTGTGGCATAGCCATCAAGACACTCACCACGGGAGAAAGGTATCTGTGTTTATTACTTACAGGACAGTTTATGTGTTGAGCTGGATGGACCCTAACCTGAAGTCCTGTGTTAATAAATATGCCTGTGCTGATAAACAGTCAGTCATCATGGATTTTGAACCATGGATTCATACATTGGTATTGCAGGTAACCCTGGATGGATGCCAGGCACCCCTTGAAGCCCCCTCTGCCTCTATCACTCTCCTCTGCAACTGGGCATGGGAAAGAAAGTGTAGCAAAGGATTCATGGGGTTAGATAAGGATTGGGTGAGATCTCTCACCATCATGGACAAAACTCAAAACTCACATTGGGGATAATAATTGAATTTACTGCTAACAAAGTCAGAGCAGGATAATGATAAGTAAAATATATCTTAAAGACACCTTCCCTCCACTCCTCCTCATTCCCAGCTCTACCTCCTCCCTCCCAGTGAGAGAGAGGACAGAGAGGTGGGAAACGGGAGTTACAGTCAGTACATCACATGACGCTCCTGCTGCTGTTCAGGGAGAAGATTCTGCCTCCTGCTCTTGTGTGGGATGTCTCCTACAGGAGTTAGTCCTCCATCAACTACTCCTGTGTGAGTCCATCCCACGAGCAACAGTTCTCCACAAAGTGCTCCAACATGGATTGCTCTTCCACAGGGTGCAGTCCTTCAGGCACAGCCTGCTCCAGCATGGGTCCCCCACAAGGTCACAAGTCCTGCCAGGAGACCTGCTCCAGCAGGGGCTGCTCTCTCCATGGGTCTGCAGGTGCCTGTCAGGAGCCTGTTCCAGCACAGGCCTCCCAAGGGCTCACAGCCTCCTCTCAGGCATCCACCTACGCCAGCCTGGGGCTCCTCCATGGGCTGTGGGTGGATCTCAGCATCCCCATGGACCTCCATGGGCTGCAGGAGCACAGCTGCTTCACCGTGGTCTGCACCAGGGGCTGCAGGGGAATCTCAGCTCCAGCACCTGGAACACT